CTAACAATAGACCCCCAGCAACAACAGATCCCCCTCTCAGCAATAGACCCCCAGCAACAATAGATCCCCCACAACAATAGACTCCCCCCAGCAAGAATGGACCCTCCGCAACAAAATACCACCCTAGCAACAATACATCCACACCAGCCAGCATCAATAGACCCCCTCTCTCACCAGTAAATCCCTCCAATCAATGATTGACCCCTCCAGAAACATAAGATTTCTCCCCCCAACAACAATAGATTCCCCACCAACAACAATGGACCCTTACTTAAAAATAGATCCCTTCCGGTGACAATAGATCACCAAGCAGCATCAACAGACCCTCCAGTACACCCAGCACCCCTTGCCATTACATACATTCAGCGCAGGAGGTTCCGGAACTGCGTTCCCCCGCGTTCCCGCTGAAAAAAAAAGCCCTGCTGATGTCATTTCAGAAAAGCCAACTAAACAGACTGGTTGCTCAGTATTTCTACTCAGACGATCTGTAGATGAAAGCTGGGAAAGTCGATCTCCTTACCTGGTCACCTGCAGAGCTGCAGAAGAAGAGGATTCCCGAGTCTCACGAGCAACGTGGCACCTCCAACAGAAGGCTCGGTGCTGCGTTTCCTTCAGAAGGGAAATTCTGTCCTTGTTGGGAGAACACAAGCAGCCTGCCCAGCAGTCAGGGGTGGGGAAGCTGGAAGCGGTCAGCGTGTATTTACTTTGGAATGGAAAAAAAAAAAAAAACTTGTGTAAGACGTTTTAGGCGCCATCGTTGCCCTGGTTCACATGGACTTGGGGGGGGGGTTGGGTTTATTCTGTGTCCTGCTATGACCCAGCACCTCTGTGTTGTATGCTGCAAAGTTTTCATCACTTTCAATGGGAAGTCACAGCAACTTAGTGGTTAGCAATTCTGCCTTGCAGCACTGGGGTCCCTGGTTCAGACGCCGGTCTACCTCGTGTGTGAGATCTCGGCGTCCTTTTCCTCCCACACCAAAGCTGTGCCGGGATGATAATTGGCCGCTTCCCAAATTGGCTCTTGTGTGTGAGATAAAGACCGTTCCCCGAGCGAAGGGACTGATATGAAAGAATGTACAATTCACTGCATAAATTGTTAGCACTTCTCTATATAAATACTTGTAGAAAAGAAAAATAGATGCTAAAGAAACAACGTATCGGACATTTGAAGTTCAACTCTCGGCAAATGGCGGAAAACCCCATTAAAAGACATATATGGAAGTGATTTCACTTCAATTTCTGTCCCTACGGCCGAACTAGATACTGTATATACAGTGAAGGAAATGTGTATTTGCTCCCCGGCTGATGCTGAATGTTCGCCCCTCACACAGAAATGATCGGTCTAACAATGGAATGTTCGCCCCTCACACATAAATGATCGGTCTAACAATGGAATGTTCGGTGTAACACTGAGAGACAGAATACAACAACAAATTCAGCAGAAATGCGTCTAACAAATGATGACTGATCTGCATGTTCATGAGGGAAAGAAGGATTTGATCCCCTATCATTCAGCAGGATTTCTGGCTCCCAGGTGTCTTTCATACAGGTAACAAGCTGAGATTAGAAGCAGTCTCTTAAAGGGAGTGCTGCTAATCTCATTGTGTTACCTGTATAAAAGACACCTGTCCACAGGAGCAATCAAACCATCAGATTCCAAACTCTCCACCATGGCAAAGACCAAAGAGCTGTCCAAGGATGTCATCGACAAGATTGTAGACCTACACAAGGCTGGACTGGGCTACCAAACTATGGCCAAGCAGCTTGGTGAGAAGGTGACAACAGTCGGTGCAATCATTCACAAATGGAAGAAACACAAAACAAGTGTCAGTCTCCCTAGGTCTGGTGCACCATGCAAGATCTCACCTCGTGGAGTGTCAATGATCATGAGAACAGTGAGGAATCATCCCAGAACTACACGTGAGGATCATGTCAATGATCTCCAGGCAGCTGGGACCACAGTCACCAAGAAAACAATTGGTAACACACTACGCCGACAAGGACTGAAATCCTGCAGTGCCCGCAAGGTCCCTCTGCTCAAGAAAGCCCATGTCCAGGCCCGTCTGAAGTCTGCCACTGAACATCTGAATGATGCAGAGGAGGACTGGTGGAAGTGTTGTGGTCAGATGAGACCAAAATCCAGCTCTTTGGCATCAACTCAACTCGCTGTGTTTGGAGGAGGAGGAGGAATGCTGCCTATGACCAAAATCGAGCTCTTTGACATCAACTCTTCTGCTGGAGGCTCACTGGGTTTTTCTTCCTCAGCAGGAAAGTCTATTAAAATCCCCAGTCTCTGAGATTGATGAAAATCCAGGGCACTTCGGTGGTTAACTCGTAATCTATAGCATCTATGGGTGCTGGGGCATACAGTTGAGCTTCGTTGAACAGTATTTTATATGCTCGTTCCAGCTCCCAGTCTTGTGTAACTATAAAGTCCAAGTTACTTCTCTCACCGGGAAGTTCCAAATCCCTAGGATCTCGGAAGTCCTCCCATCTCCACTCTGCTGCACTACGGAAATGTGGATCCTTCTGAAGCGTCTCAGATATCAATGCCGGGTCACAATACGGAAATGTGGATCCTCCTGAAGCGTCCCAGATATCAATGCCGGGTCACAATACGGAAATGTGGATCCTCCTGAAGCGTCACAGATATCAATGCCGGGTCACAATACGGAAATGTGGATCCTCCTGAAGCGTCACAGATATCAATGCCGGGTCACAATACGGAAATGTGGATCCTCCTGAAGCGTCCCAGATATCAATGCCGGGTCACAATACGGAAATGTGGATCCTCCTGAAGCGTCCCAGATATCAATGCCGGGTCACAATACGGAAATGTGAATCCTCCTGAAGCATCCCAGATATCAATGCCGGGTCAAATTATGGAAATGTGGATCCTCCTGAAGCGTCTCAGATATAAATGCCGGGTCACAATACGGAAATGTGGATCCTCCTGAAGCGTCTCAGATATCAATGCCGGGTCACCGTAGTCATAGACTTCTATGGGATCACTGTTCTTCAGCCAAGGACACACTTGAGTAACACACTGCAGCGCCCAAAATGTACAAGAGACTTGAGTGGCTGTACAGCCATGGGATTACTTTTATGGGCCTGGGAAGGTGCCACCTCTAGACAATTTTGGGTCCCATTGGTTTCCATCATTTCAAGGGCACATGCAATTTTAAGGCTTGGCATGTTGGGTATCTATTTACTCAGTGCAACCTCATTTTTTTATTTTACCAAAACGTTGGGTGTTATATTGTGTTTGTTTGCACTAATAATTAAGTGTATTTGTTTCCTAAAAATATTGATGTTGCATTCGCACAAATATTGTGCAACCTTAAAAAAAAACGCAGCTACCATTTTCATTATTCTAGAGGGCTTCTTTCAGAAAATGTATACAGGCGAACCTCGGTTTACGAACGCCTTGGTTACCGTAATTTTCGGTTTATGAATGAAAATCCATTGAAAATAATGCCTTGGTTTACAAATTTTTTTTGGAATACGAATGGATTAATTGGTTTTCATTTACGAATTTATTTTAATCATGTCTCTGTACAGTATGTATGCCTTTAAAGTGCATTTTATAAAGAGTTTTGAACAGATAAGTAGTTTTTTTACTTTTTTCTGACCTCCGCAACGGATTAATTGGTTCTCAATGCATTCACAAATTTTTTTTGCAATACGAACGGATAATTGGTTTTCAATGCATTTACTAATTCATTTGTAATCATGTCCCTGTACAATATCTATGCCTTTAACAAGTGCACTTTATAAATAGTTTTGAACAGATAAAATACTTTTAAACTTTTTTTCTGACCTCGGGAATGGATTAATTTGTTTTCAATGCATTCCTATGGGAAACCACGTTTCAGTTTACAAATTTTTTGGCAATACGTACAAATTAATTGGTTTTCAATGCATTTACAAATTTATTTTAATCATGTCCCTGTACAGTATTTATGCCTTTAAAGTGCACTTTATAAAGAGTTTTGAACAGATAAGACTTTTTTTTTTACTCTTTTCTGACCTCCGGAACGAATTAATTGGTTTTCAATGCATTCCTATGGGAAACCGCATTTCAGTTTACAAATTTTTTTTCAATATGAACGAATTATTTGGTTTTCAATGCATTTACGAATTTCTTTTTTAATAATGTCCCTGAATGGATTAAATGGCTTTCAATGTATTTACGAATTCATTTTTAATCATGTCCCTGTACAGTATTTATGCCTTGAAAGTGCACTTTATAAAGAGTTTTGAACAGATAAAATACTTTTTAACTTTTTTCTGACCTCCGGAACGGATTAATTGGTTTTCAATACATTTACAATTTTTTTTCGCAATACGAATGGATTAATTGGTTTTCAATGCATTTACTAATTAATTTTTAATCATGTCCCTGTACAGTATTTATGCCTTTAAAGTGCACTTTATAAAGAGCTTGGATAATTGGTTTTCAATGCATTAAAGAAAAAAAGGCAGCAAAAGAATTGATTGGTCAAAGAGCTAGCAATCAAATTTGAAGTACCGTTCCCTAAGTGACCCTAATCTTGCCCTCTGCCGTTTCTTAGCTTTCCCTATAGCAGCTTCCAGTACACCAAGGGGGGGCAGCACTTAACAAGGCCCCTAATATTGGCCCTTCAAAGGCAACTGACCTGGGTTTGAGGGGTCCATTGCCCAGGCCCGGTGGATCATGAACAGACAGGATCCGACAGAAACACAAGATAAATCTGAACCTTGTCCCCATTCCCCACCTACAAATGACGTACAAATGTGAGTCCATAAACCACTTCCAACTGAGTATTTTACAAAGCTTTATTGAACATTTGACAGAGACAACCCACCAGTTCTAGTCTCTGGCCCGGAGGTACATTGTATCAGTGTAAATATAACAATACACGATTAAACGGGAAATAAGCATCTTGAACATTTGGTTTTGGTGACCCACTGGCCATCAAGGTCGACCGATTCTTCATGGCACCCATCGGTGATCCTTTATTTCTTCCATCATGTCCTGTTAGCAGGTTTGGGAGAAAACTGGCCCAGCCAATAGTCAGAGATGGCGGTGGGGAGGTATGATAGAGAGGGAGGTAGTGCAGCTTGCAGTCCCAGCCGGGTGAGTACCGGGTCCAGGGGTGGACAGCGGTCAGGGCGTGCTCCATACAATCTGAGACTTGGTACGTCTTTGGACTGGATGATGCTGGTAATGCTTGCAGACCCTTGATGCCTGTTGGGTATATCAAAAGTCAAACACCGAAAATGTCAACAGTACTGGATTTATAGAAAAAAATATTTGTGCCAATTATATCGGGGGGTCTCCAAACTACAGCCTGCAGGTCACATCCGACCTACTACAATACTTGATCCGTCCCGTAACTAAGGTCAATGTGTGTCCTCAATATGTCGCCTATGGTTCCCTCCACTTCCTTTGCAGTCTGCAGCTTGGTTCCTGCTGGTATCCTTGCAGCTAATGAATTGGTTGCAATTGGTCCTCAGAATTCACCGAAGAACGAAACCTCCTCTGCCCAGACCTGCTCCTGTTGGTACAGCAATCTGTGCCTTATAGTGATAAGGGGGGGGCTCTGGTGGGGACCCTAATGTAATGGCGGGGTCTAATGAAGACCCTAAGGTAAGGGGACTGCTCTGATGGGGACCATAATGTAAGGGGGGCTTTGATGAGGACCCTAATGTAAGGGGGCTCTGATGAACACCCTAATGTAAGGGGGGCTCTGTTGAAGACCCTAACGTAAGGGAGGCTCTGATGAAAACCCTAATGTAAGGGGGCTCTAATGAGGGTCCTAATCTAAGGGGGACTCTGATGAAGACCCTAATGTAAGGGGGCTATGAAGAAGACCCTATGTAAGGGGGGCTCTGATGAAGACCCTAATGTAAGGGGGGCTCTGATGAAGACCCTAATGTAAGGGGGCTCTGATGAAGACCCTAAGTAAGGGGGGCTCTGATGAAGACCCTAATGTAAGGGGGCTCTGATGAAGGCCCTAATGTAAGGGTGGCTCTGATGAAGACCCTAAGGTTAGCGGGGCTCTGATGAAGACCCTAATGTAAGGGGGGCTCTGATGAAGACCCTAATGTAAGGGGGGCTCTGATGAAGACCCTAATGTAAGTAGGGTTTTGATGAAGACCCTAATGTAAGGGGGGCTCTGATGAAGACCCTAATGTAAGCAGGGCTCTGATGATGACCCTAATTTAAGGGGGGCTTTGATGAGGACCCTAATGTAAGGGGGGCTTTGATGAAGACCTGAATGTAATGGGGGGTCTAATGAAGACCCTAAGGTAAGGGGACTGCTCTGATGGGAACCCTAATGTAAGGGTGGCTCTGATGAGGACCCTAATGTAAGGGGGGCTCTGATGAAGACCCTAATGTAAAGTGGGGCTCTGATGAAGACCCTAATGTAAAGTGGGCTCTGATGAAGGGGGGGGATCTGATGAAGACATTAATGTAAGTAGGGCTTTGATAAAGACCATAATGTAAGCAGGGCTCTGATGAAGACCATAATGTAAGGGTGGCTCTGATGAGGACCCTAATGTAAGGGGGGCTCTGATGAAGACCCTAATGTAAGGGGGGCTCTGATGAAGACCCTAATGTAAAGTGGGCTCTGATGAAGGCCCTAATTTAAGGGGGGATCTGATGAAGACATTAATGTAAGTAGGGCTTTGATAAAGACCATAATGTAAGCAGGGCTCTGATGAAGACCATAATGTAAGGGGGGCTCTGATGAGGACCCTAATGTAAGGGGGCTCTGATGAAGACCCTAGTGTAAGGGGGGCTCTGATGAACACTCTAATGTAAAGGGGAGGGGGATCTGATGAAGAACTGAGTAAATTCAAAACCAAGTGAACCCCAAATGCTGTTAAACCATAAATACGTGTGTGTACTATAAACACATTCTCATAGCGCACAACCCCTGGTTGCCAAGATATCACTTCCTCCCCAGGAAGTCCAAAATAAAAAAAATGTTCCTCAGCGTTCCAACAAAATCAACGTCCTCAATTTATAACCGCAAGTGACCTCTTGTTTCTTCATAGCCCACCATGTGCTCATTTTCCAGGTCTTCAAAGTGATGTCATCCTCTTCCTCTTTAACCCTCAAAAATTGTACATAGACATTTCTTTGGAACAGACCTCATCCAAACTGGCTGCCGCGCAACTTCCGGTTGGCATCGGACGTCTCTTCCAGAGGAAGTTGCACGGTGGCCATTTTGGATGAGGTCCGTTCCAAAGAATTGGATACCAACGGTGTTGTACATCTCATACTTTGAGAAGAGCAATGTTGGTTTGAAAGGAGTCTACCTGTTCAAGGCCTTTTTTTCCTATACAGTCTGGTAAGGTGCATGGACTGGGAGGTGGTAGATCACCGTATTGCGTCACTTAAATTGGTGGTCACTGGTTTGGAAGAAAGGGAGCACTGAGTGGCACTCAATGAAATTTATTCGTTTACAACACTACACTATATGAATTTTACATTTCTTGGAGGGTATGATCATCCACGGGGAGGATTTCTGAGGAAGAATTCACGTGTTGAACATTCATCTTAAAGCGAGCGGTTTATATTCAGAGGGTAAGAGTAGGAATTACAGGTTTCTCATGTTGACGCTTGGTGGAGTTTTCGGCACGTTTGGAGCACTTTTCTGTGAGTGTGACTTAGTATAGTCATTACTCATGTGATAAAGGTGATGCACTATGTGCCGCCTATGTACATTTTTTGAGGGTTAAAGAGGAAGAGGATGACATCACTATGAAGACCTGGAAAACGAGCTCATGGTGGGCCATGACGAAACAAGAGGTTACTTGTGGTCACAAATTGAGGATGCTGATTTAGCTTGGACGCTGAGAGTCTGATGGAGACCCTAATGTAAGGGGGGCCTCTGATGGAGACTGTAATGTAAGGGGGGCCTCTGATGGAGAGACTGTAATGTAAGGGGGTCTCTGATGGAGACCCTAATTTAAGGGGGGCCTCTGATGGAGACTGTAATGTAAGGGGGGGCGTCTGATGGAGACCCTAATTTAAGGGATCTCTGATGGAGATTCTAATGTAAGGGGGGCCTCTGATGGAGACTGTAATGTAAGGGGGGCCTCTGATTGAGACTGTAATGTAAGGGGGTCTCTGATGGGGACCCTAATTTAAGGGGGCTCTGATGGAGACCCTAATTTAAGGGGGGCTCTGATGGAGATTAGGGGGCTCTGATGGAGACCCTAGTTTAAGGGGGGCTCTTATGGAGACCCTAATTTAAGGGGGGCTCTGTTGGGGATTAAGGGGGCTCTGTTGGAGACCCTAATTTAAGGGGCGGCTCTGTTGGAAACCCTAATGAAAGGGGGATGGTCACTGATGGAGACCCTAATGTAAGGGGGGGCTCTGTTGGAGACCCTAATGTAAGGAGGATGGTCGCTGATGGATACCCTAATGTAAGGGGGGGCTCTGTTGGAGACCCTAATGTAAAGGGGCGGCTCTGTTAGAGACTCTAATATAAGGGCGATGGTCTCTCATGGAGACCCTAATGTAAGGGGGATGGTCTCTGATGGAGACCCAAATGTAAGGGGGATGGTCTCTGATGGAGACCCTAATGTAAGGGGGATGGTCTCTGATGGAGAACCTAATGTAAGGGGGATGGTCTCTGATGGAGACCCTAATGTAAGGGGGATGGTCTCTGATGGAGACCCTAATGTAAGGGGGATGGTCTCTGATGGAGAACCTAATGTAAGGGGGATGGTCTCTGATGGAGACCCTAATATAAGGTAATATAAGGGGTATGGTCCCTGATGGAGACCCTAATGTAAGGGGTATGGTCTTTGATGGAGACCCTAATGTAAGGGGGGTCTCCGAAGGGGGTTCTCTTCCCTCATTGAGCTAATGGTGTGTGGCGTCTCTCATCTCCTCATACTTCACCGATTGGTGGACAGCCTGCACCCCTATATTGCTGCGAGACTCCGGTTTCACCAAAGCCCCTTGAGCGGCATAATATGAGGGACCCCTTGTGGTTAGGATGCAGCAGGACAGCGGCTTGGCACAGGACCTGGAAGAAGGCGACGATGGCTGTAGTAAAGGGCAACTACTACAGCGACGACCTAATTCCACAGCCATCCCACAGGTACGGAACACGTAGACTTCCATCTGTCCAAACTGGACCAAAAAAAAATTCCATCCCGGGAGTTCAGCTCTCCATGTAAAAGATGTGACGTAACACAAAGGAAGTGCCCACATCCTACCTATTGAAAGGAGTAAATTTGCATTGATCTGTTATCAAGATCCCACGAGGGTCAAAATGCGTAGCCATTGGTATGAAAAAAATTATTTTTTTAAAATGGATATCCTTCGTGGCGCGCCGATCATAACCCATCATTGTCCCATGCCGGAGACAAGGATCCTGCACTCCTATATGAAAGGATGAAGGGAGACTTCCTGTCCTAGGGTGACAACGCGGCTCCTCCATAAGTAGAGCACAGTGAGCGTTGTCACCCTAGAACCGGAAGTGGGTAAAAAGGGGCAGGATCACCGGATGAAATTTTAAAGAAAGAGTCAAGAGGTTCAGACAGACCCCAGATTTTCTCTCTCTTTTTAATGCCCAATGTTGGGGAAACGTTCACCAATGGCCATGAACACTGAGGCGGCGGGATCTCCACAAAAGCAAAAAATCTGCAATATGGGTCTGTCTGTGAGAACTTACATCCCTTGAGGTAGTCCTCTCCATAGCTCTCCTTAATATGCGCCGGAAGTTTCTCCCACATTCGGTTCAAGTTATTTATGTAACTATCCACAGCCACGCACGCGGGGGTCCTGAACGCTCCCGGCTCAATGATGGAAACCTTCACGCCAAATTCGCGCATCTCCCTCCTGGAGGACAGAAAACGTACAAATATAGTCAATTGATAGAAATGTTTCAACAGAAAATCGTTTTCGACTTCATTAACCAGAGGATCCCCCCCCCTCCCCTTCCTGACCGGGCCATTTTTTGTGTTACGGCGCTGCGTTACTTTAACAGACATTTGTGCGGTCATGTGATGCTGCACCCAAATTAAATTTCTGTCCTTTTTCCCACAAAAAGAGCTTTTTTTTTTGGTAGCATTTAATGCGTTTTTTATTTTTTTGCGCTATAAACAATAAAGACCGACAATTTTGAGAAAAAAAAAAAAAACAATATTTTTGTTTTTTTTGCTATTAAACATGTCCATTAAAAAAAATTTAAACAAAAAGCTTTCTTTCGTTGGTATTTGTTCGCCTGTGCGGTTTTTATTTTTTGCACTATAAAAAAAAAGACTGACAATTTTGAGGAAAAAAAAACTATATATTTGAAATTTTTCTATTAAACACGTCCAGTAAAAAAAAAAAATTTAAAAAATCAAATTTCTTCATAAATTTAGGCCAGAATGTATTAGACTTCACGTCTTTCTTTGCTTAAAAAAAAAATCCCAAAACATGTAAATTAATTGGTTTATGTGAAAGTTATAGCGCCTACAAATGGTGGTTTAGATACTGGGATTTTTTTTATTTTTTTACTAGTAATGGCGGCAATCAGTGACACACACTGCACCCAAATGAAATTTATGTTCTTTTTTTCCCCACAAAAAGAGCTTTCTGTTGTTATTTGATCACCTGTGCATTTTTAATTTTTTTTGGCTATACAAAAAAAAAAAAGGCCAACAATTTAGTGAAAAAAAAAATATATTTTTGATTTTTTTTGCTATTAAACATATCCAGTAAAAAAAAAAAAAAAAAAAATAAAATTACTAAATAAATTTAGGCCAGAAAAGGTATAGCGTTTACAAAAATTGCGGTATATATACTGGATTTTTCAAATTTTTTTCAAAACTTTACTAGTAATGGTGGCGACCAGCAACTTATAGGGGGACTGCGGTGGTAATTCTGACACTGGGGGGGAATCGACTTGGTGTCACTGACATCCCCAGTGATGCCAATACAGTGATCAGTGCTAATAAAAAGCAGAGACACTGTATACTAATGGTACTGGGGAGGAAGAGGTTACCATGATGGACAATCAATGGGTTAACTGTGTGCTGTGTTTGTACTTCACTGTAAGCACACTGCTTTGTATGGCTGTGCTGTGCAGAGCCATGCAAAGCAGTTTGCAGGAGCTGACGGGAGAGAAATGTTTTCTTTACAAACAGTTCCCCCCCCGTCGGAGATGCTCAGCAATCCTCCGCTGCCGGGACCCGGTGATTGACAGCCGAGGCCATGAATGGCGACGCGGGTAGGGCAAGTGCCCCCTATCCGGAACTAAAAAATCACGTATATATACAGTGAAGGAAATGCGTATTTGCTCCCCGGCTGATGTTGAATGTTCGTCCCTCACACAGAAATGATCGGTCTAACAATGGAATGTTCGGTGTAACACTGAGAGACAGAATACAACAACAAATTCAGCAGAAATGCGTCTAACAAATGATGACTGATCTGCATGTTCATGAGGGAAAGAAGGATTTGATCCCCTTCACAAAACATGACTTAGTACTTGGTGGCAAATCCCATGTTGGCAATCAGGTCAGATGTTTCCTGGAGTTGGCCCCCAGGTTCGCACACATCTCAGGAGGGATTTTGGCCCACTCCTCTTGGCAGATCCTCTCCAAGTCATTAAGGTTTGGTGGCTGACGTTTGCCAACTCGAACTTTCAGATCCCTCCACAGATTTTCAATCGGATGAAGGTCTGGAGACTGGCTAGGCCACTCCAGGACCTTAATGTGCTTCTTCTGGAGCCGCTCCTTTGTTGCCTTGGCCGTGTGTTTTGGGTCATTGTCATGCTGGAACACCCATCCACCACCCACTTTCAATGCCCTGGCTGAGGGAAGAAGGTTCTCACCCAAGATTTGATGGTACATTGCCCCGTCCATCGTCCCTTTGATGCGGTGCAGTTGTCCTGTCCCCTTAGCAGAAAAACACCCCCAAAGCAGAATGTTTCCACCACCATGTTTCACAGTTGGAATGGTGTTCTTGGGGTCATAGGCAGCATTCCTCCTCCTCCAAACATGGCGAGTTGAGTTGATGCCAAAGAGTCTCATCTGACCACAACACTTCCCACCAGTCCTCCTCTGCATCATTCAGATGTTCAGTGGCAGACTTCAGACGGGCCTGGACATGTGCTTTCTTGAGCAGAGGGACCTTGCGGGCACTGCAGGATTTCAGTCCTTGTCGGCGTAGTGTGTTACCAATTGTTTTCTTGGTGACTGTGGTCCCAGCTGCCTGGAGATCATTGACAAGATCCTCACGTGTAGTTCTGGGATGATTCCTCACTGTTCTCATGATCATTGACACTCCACGAGGTGAGATCTTGCATGGTGCACCAGACCTAGGGAGACTGACACTTGTTTTGTGTTTCTTCCATTTGTGAATGATTGCACCAACTGTTGTCACCTTCTCACCAAGCTGCTTGGCCATAGTTTGGTAGCCCAGTCCAGCCTTGTGTAGGTCTACCATCTTGTCCCTGACATCCTTGGACAGCTCTTTGGTCTTTGCCATGGTGGAGAGTTTGGAATCTGATGGTTTGATGGCTCCTGTGGACAGGTGTCTTTTATACAGGTAACACAATGAGATTAGCAGCACTCCCTTTAAGAGACTGCTTCTAATCTCAGCTTGTTACCTGTATGAAAGACACCTGGGAGCCAGAAATCCTGCTGATTGATAGGGGATCAAATTCTTCTTTCCCTCATGAACATGCAGATCAGTCATCATTTGTTAGACGCATTTCTGCTGAATTTGTTGTTGTATTCTGTCTCTCTCAGTGTTACACCGAACATTCCATTGTTAGACCGATCATTTCTGTGTGAGGGGCGAACATTCCATTGTTAGACCGATCATTTCTGTGTGAGGGGCGAACATTCCATTGTTAGACCGATCATTTCTGTGTGAGGGGCGAACATTCAACATCAGCCGGGGAGCAAATACACATTTCTTTCACTGTATATATATGCGATTTTGCGCACCCGTGCCGCTCTGAAGCAGTATTTCTGCCATAGGGCGGACGGGAAGCTGTTACTCGGTTCACCAATTCTCACACCTGTACAACGTTTATGGACTGGAGCAATGTTCACATTTCTGCTTTAGGCCTAGTGATTTGGCAATAACTTCTCATTTTGCAACCACTTGAGCACTGGAAGGTGTTACCACTTTTATGACCAGGCCTTTTTTTGCTATTCAGCAATGCACTACTTTAACTGGCAATTGTGCGGTCATGCAACACTGTCTGCAAATGACATTCATTTTTTTGCACAAACCTATCTTATATAATAGTAAATATTTTTATTAAACAAACATTTTGAAAAAAAAAAAACCCCAATGTTTTCGACCTGTTATTAACATGACCAATAAAATAAAAGTTCTTCGTCACCACTGGGTTGTTTATTATGCAAATGATATTTAAAAAAAAAAAAAATTCACATTATTTTCTACCTTCTGTTATAAAACATAACCAATAAAATAAATAATAATAATTAAAAAAAAAAAGATCGAAGTTCTTCATCACAACATTTTTTACTTTCTGCTATACAACATATCCATTAAAAATAATTTAAAAAAATCTAATTTCTTCATAAATTTTGGCCAAAAGGAATGTCTTTTGGTAAAAATATTATATAAAGGAATAATCAAATCATAGTGTTTTATCCTTTAAAAACATTTTTTATTAAGAAAGGTAATGCACTCACATGATGATTGAATAGAAACTGCTTTGTGCAAAAAAATTTATCCTCCTGAGTTTTCAGCAGTGATGAAAATCCTAAAATTACCAGCCGGTGTCAGTATGGAACCATCGAGTGTGGTGTCAGTATATGGAGGGGCTTTGGCGTTACCACGCTCAATGGTTCCATGCTGACAGCAGCTCGATGGTTCCATACTGACACCAGCTCAATGGTTCCATACTGACAGCAGCTCGATGGTTCCATACTGACACCAGCTCGATGGTTCCATACTGACACCAAGCTAGATCGTTCCATACTGACACCACGCTCGATGGTTCCATACTGACACCACGCTCGATGATTCCATACTGACACCACGCTCGATGGTTCCATACTGACACCAGCTCGATGGTTCGATACTGACACCACGCTCGATGGTTCCATACTGACACCAGCTCGATGGGTCCATACTGACACCACGCTCTATGGTTCCATACTGACACCAGCTCGATGGGTCCATACTGACACCACGCTCGATGGGTCCATACTGACACCACGTTTGATGGGTCCATACTGACACCACGCTCGATGGGTCCATACTGACACCACGCTCGATGGGTCCATACTGACACCACGCTCGATGGTTCCATACTGACACCACGTTTGATGGGTCCATACTGACACCACGCTCGATGGGTCCATACTGACACCACGCTCGATGGGTCCATACTGACACCACGCTCGATGGGTTCATACTGACACCACGCTCGATGGTTCCATACTGACACCACGCTCGATGGTTCCATACTGACACCACGCTCGATGGTTCCATACTGACACCACGCTCGATGGTTCCATACTGACACCACGCTCGATGATTCCATACTGACACCACGTTTGATGGGTCCATACTGACACCAGCTTGATGGTTCCATACTGACACCACGCTCGATGATTCCATACTGACACCACTCTCGATGGTTCCATACTGACACCACACTCGATGGGTCCACACTGACACCAGCTCAATGGTTCCATACTGACACCACGCTTGATGGTTCCATACTGACACCACGCTCGATGGTTCCATACTGACACCAGCTCGATGGTTCCATACTGACACCACGCTCGATGGTTCCATACTGACACCAGCTAGATGGTTCCATACTGACACCAGCTCGATGGTTCCATACTGACACCAGCTCGATGGTTCCATACTGACACCAGCTCGATGGTTCCATACTGACACCACGCTTGATGGTTCTATACTGACTCCAGCTCAATGGTTCCATACTGACTCCAGCTCGATGGTTCCATACTGACACCACGCTCGATAGTTCCATACTGACAGCAGCTCGATGGTTCCATACTAACAACAGCTGGTCATTTTTGGATTTTCACCACTGCCAACAACTCAGGAAGATACATTTTTTTGCACAAAGCGGTTTATATTCAATCATCATGTGAGCGCATTACCTTTATTAATAAAACGTTTTAAAGGATAAAACACTTTGATCTGATTATTCCTTTATAATTCGTGTTTATATGTATTACAGCAATGATCATTGTAAGCGACAATCCTTTTACCCCCGATCACCATGGTAACTCACCTTAAACTGTCTGAGAAAGCCTCCAGGCCGAACTTTGAAGGACAATATCCCCCACCGATAAAACCCAATCTCCCAGCGGCACTGGATACCACGACAATTCGTCCCCGGGCTTTTCTGACAAGAGGCAGCAAGCTCACCGTGACATCGATCGTCCCAAGAAGATTCACGTTCAGGACCTTGGAGAAGTCTTCTTTTGTTTGCCACTCATTGGGACCCATAGCGATGGCAAATCCAGCATTGTTCACCAATCCCCAAAGCCCTGTGAGCCACGAAACAAAGTAACGTCAGTACTGGAATCAGAAAACTATCGAAACATCTATAGGAATGTTCCTAAATAAATGACTTCCTTTGAGGGTCAAACAAGGATGCATATGAAACCAGGCATCACCTTTTATTTTTGTTTTTTTTAATTTCCTAACCTGAAAAAAAGGTCTTCTGATCATAAACTGTGAACTTTCCGATCCTTTCCCCCTTAAAGGAGAACTTCACTCAAGATATGTTAGAAGGGGTATAGAAGTCATCAAATTAGATGTCTGGATTTTTGGGGCTGGTGGCTTCTCAATGTATCAGGGTCCTGTCCACGGCAGAGGTTCTGGAAGATCTGGCATTCCTGCCAGTACTCTGCATGGCCGCAGAAGGACACATCGGCCTCAGTCTGGTGCCAGACGGCCTTTATAAGGAGGCTCATCACTTCCTCAAGTTGCTGGATGATCTCTAGCTCCCTGTGCCCTGTTTCCTGTTTCCTGTGACTTTGACCTGTGATTTCCTGTTACTGACTCGGCTTGCTCCTGGACCTGTCTACTCTACCTTACCCCTGATCTGACCTCGGCCTGGCTTACGGATACTCTCTCTCTCTCGCTCCTCTGTGGCTATCCCATCTGATTATGTCTGCTCTGATTCCCACCTGGTACCTGACCTTGGCTTGAACATGGAGTGGGATGTAAATGCATTTATCAATAATTTTTAATTTTTTGGTTGATTTTAAAGCATTATATTTTTTTCTCTGTGTATATTGTTTTGTGTTTTTGATTGTTTTTTTGCTTTTTTTGGTACTGATGTAGTTATATAATGTGTTTTTAATTTGATTTTATGTTCATTTGTAATTGTTCTGATTTCTTTGTTGTATTATTGGTGTAGTTTCTATTTTTCCCCACAAGATGGCCTAATCCATCGGTGTTGAAGTCACTCAATTAAAAATGATATTTTATATGATCTTTGCCCTTTAGAATTTGATTGTCTGATAATTAAAAATCGTTTAATCATATTCTTCTTATATGTATAATTATCTTCTTGCATTTATTGTCCGTTTTTGGCAGTAACATTATGGGTGGGCCCCTTAGTGAAGTCAGTTTTTTCCCTTCCTGTGGTTCTTACTGTTGATTAGCTATCTCATGATATGAGTGGGCTCTTTATTGCGGTCCGCTTCCCGTTTGGTGTTTTCCGGGAGCTCCTTCCATCTCCTGGAATGTATCTTGATTAGTGGGAGGGTCCCTCCATGCACTATATATAGACATCGGCACGTCCAATTAGCCAACCCCCTGATGACGTTAATTGGATGACGAAACACGTCGGGTGGAGCTTCGGCGTGTGACGTCATCACGTTTTGGAGGGACAGCGGCCAATTTCCTGGTTGGAAACTTAGTTCAAATGCTGGTAACCATCCAATACAATGTACGAGTAACTTGTAATAAACAGGGTGATTTTATTATATAACTACTACACGATGAGTGGTCTTCTTCTTCTATTCCTCATCGATATACTGGATGGGAGTCTTATTTCAGGGCCTGTAAAGTTCTTTTGAGAGGAAGATTCACATCTATCTTGGTGAGGACCACCAGTTTCATTAACTGCAAATATTCATCTCCCATCTCAGCTGCATATATTGACGGGTGTGTTTCGGTTGGAATTTCTGGTAAAAGGCTGAACCATTCGGGTGTTTCGGTGATGGTGGATCGTGGGAACTTCGCTTGGGACATTTTATTGGAATTTTTTCTGATTAATTGTACTTTATGATTATATGCTTTTGATTAGCGCCGCCATTTTATATCCTATTTTTTACAGGATCTTCGAATATCCAAAAGGCACCACTTAGTGAGAGAGATACAGACTTACACCGGCGTAGGAAAGCTGGACACTTTTCAACCAACTTTCTCCTGGCTCTCTCCAGTGAGGTTCTCCAGACTCCAGGACTAGGCTTTTCAAATAATCCCCCCCCCCAGCTAAGTCTCCAGCTGGGACCTCGATGTCTTCTACATGGCACCTCCCGATAACCCTGCCCTCAGGGCTCTCCTCTAGTAGGACTGGAGCCAGGAAGTCTTCCACCCCCCCCCTTCAGGCCTCAGACTATTTATGGGTGCTCCAGGCACCAACTGGGCACACCTCCCCAGGGATTTGTTGGAGTTCCATAAATATCCAGGATGCTCCCTCTGTTCTTCCTCCAACTAGAATTCCAGAATACAAGGGGAAGCAGTCAGAGCAATCATGAGGTCATCTCAACACATACTGCTCTCTCTGCTTCTGCTCTCTCTATTTCTTTCAAAATGTCTGAAATAGTTAATTTTTTCCTGTTTTTCAGTGCATTCTGGGCATTTTGGAAGGTCTCCTGAGGTTATCTTTTAAAAAAAAAACGCTTCTAAACACGAACGCTCATAAACGCGGCTAAACAGACGTTTTTTTAACCTACGTTTTCCAGCAGTCAGTTTCCATCGTTCAGAAGAGTTTTCCAAACGTCCCGTGTACATGGAGCCTAACTATGTCCCTAGGGTTGGCGTCACTCGGTGCGATAACACTTGGTGACACCCCCTCCAACAATCCCCGCATGATAGATTGGATCTGCGGATTGAGCATAATCAGCATCCGATCCATTATGCTCCCCAATCCGCAGATCCGATCCATCCTGCGGGGATCGTCGGCATGCAACCTATATGGGGTGACACCGGACCCGCTCAACGAAAAGGTAAGCCGAAGAATCCCCGCAGGATGGATCGGATCTGCAGATTGAGCATTATGAATCAGATAATAAGTACAATATACAGTTGCAAGAAAAGTATGTGAACCCCTTGGGATTACGTGGAGTTTTGCATGAATTGGGCATAAAATGTGATCTGAACGTCATCTAAGTCACAACAATAGAAGAACACAGTCTGCTGAACATAATACTACACAAACATTAGATGTTGCCATGGTTTATTTGCACATAACATGTAAACATTCACAGTGCAGGGAGGAAAAAGTATGTGAGGCCCTAGCTTAATGACTTCTCCCAGAGCTAATTGGAGCCAGGAGTGAGCCAACCTTGACTCCAATCAGTGTGATGATATTGGATGTGTTGCTGACAGCTGTCCTGCCCTTAAAAAACACACACCTGTTTTGGGTTTACTGGTTTCAAGAAGCACTGTCTGATGTGAACCATGCCTCGCAGAAAAGAGCTCTCAGAAGACCTACCATCAAGAATTGTTGACTTGCATGAAGCTGGAAAGGGTTACAAAAGTATCTCCTTGAGCCTTGATGTTCATGTGTCCACGGTAAGACAGACGGTCTACAAATGGAGAAAGTTTAGCACTGTTGCTACTCTCCCTAGGCGTGGTCGTCCTGTAAAAATGACTGCAAGAGCACAGCGCAGAATGCTGCATGAGGTAAAGAAGAATCCCAGAGTGTCAGCTAAAGACCTACAGAAATCTCTGGCACATGCTAATATTTTTTTTGTGACACATCTACAATAAGGAAAACATTAAACAAGAATGGAGTACATGGGAGGACACCACGGAGGAAGCCATTGCTGTCCAAAAAGAAGATTGCAGCACGTTTGAAGTTTGCAAAAGAGCACCTGGATGTTCCACAGCACTACTGGCAAAATATACTGTGGACAGATGAAACCAAGATTGAGTTGTTTGGGAAGAACACACAACACTATGTGTGGAGAAAAAAAGGCACAGCACACCAACATCAAAACCTCATCCCCACTGTGAAACATGGTGGAGGGAGCATCATGGTTTGGGGCTGCTTTGCTGCCTCAGGGCCTGGACGGATTGTTGTCATTGATGGGAAAATGAATTCCAGAGTTTATCTGTCCGCCAACTGAAGCTCCGCAGAGGATGGGTGATGCAACAGGACAATGACCCAAAGCATACAAGTAATTCAACAAAACAATGGCTGCAACAGCACAGAATACGCCTTCTGGAGTGGCCCAGTCAGAGTCCTGACCTCAACCCCATTGAAATGCTGTGGCATGACCTTAAGAGAGCGATTCACACCAGACATCCCAAGAATATTGCTACACTGAAACAGTTGTGTAAAGAGGAGTGGTCCAAAATGACTCCAGATCGTTGTGCAGGTCTGATCTGCAACTACGGGAAACGTTTGGTTGTGGTTATTGCTGCCAAAGGAGGGTCAACCAGTTATTAAGTCCAAAGGTTCACATACTTTTTCCTCCCTGCACTGTGAATGTTTACATGTTATGTGCAATGAAACCATGGCAACATCTAATGTTTGTGTAGTATTATGTTCAGCAGACTGTGTTCTTCTATTGTTGTGACTTAGATGACGTTCAGATCACATTTTATGCCCAATTCATGCAAAACTCCATGGAATCCCAAGGGGTTCACATACTTTTTCTTGCAACTGTACATCCTACACTGAGTATCCAATTGTCAGCCTTCCCAAATTTTCTAATATCCAATGAACCCTGGGGTCTAGAAATTGAGGATGTAAATATTTACTTAGAAACACAGGGAAGAGATGGCCACCAATGGAAGTGAGCAGGTCTTAGTCTAGACCAGTGGTCTCCAAACTGTGGCCTGGGGGCCAGATGCGGCCCTTTGCTTGCCTCTTTCCAGCCCTTGGATCACTATTGTTCCAACTGACACCAATGATGAGGCACCATTCCTCCTACTTTCACCATTAATGGGACACTCTTCTACCCACTGCTTCCATTGATGGGGCACTATTCTTCATGCTAAGACCAATGCTGGGGCACTATTGCTCCCAATGACACCAATGATGGGGCACTATTCCTCCCAATGACACCATTGATGGGGCACTATTC